TTCTCATTAGGAGCAGGGAAGAAAATAAATGCTTGTTAATCGAGAGAAATAAAATTTAATTAAAAAACAAAGAGAACTAATTATTGGTTAGAAGGATGAATCAAAAATAAATTAGGGATTTTCACAGGAATAAAGACCATATTTGATAGCAGTGCTAGCTTTAGAATTATTTTTTAACATTTCCATATTAGTAATTTTGTACAAGAAGACTCAAGCAAAAGAAAAAAAAATGAAAGAAAGAAAGTGAAAAATAGCAGTCTGTATTCAATCATTATCAGTTCTGTATTCAGTCTATCAGTTCTTTCTCTGGGGGTGGATAGTATGGTTCATCATTAGTCCTTTGGGATTGTCTTGGATCATTGTATTGCTGGGAATGGCTAAGTCATTCACAATTCTTCATCCAACAGTATTGCTGTTACTGCGTACAATGTTCTCCTGGTTCTTTTTACTTCACTATGCATCAGTTCATGTAAGTCTTTCCAGGTTTTTCTGAAATCATCCTGTTTGCCATTTCTCATAGCACAATAATATTCCATTACAGTCATAGACCACAGCTTGTTTAGCCATTCCCCAATAGATTAGCCTTAGGGTTAATAGTGATGTAGGTGAAATTTGTCTTTAGGGTTCTTCCTCTTTTTTTTTTCTGTTTCTTTCCTAAAAGGAGGCTTTCTGCAGGGAAGACAGTGGTAAAGGTTGGTGAGCTTTCTGTAACCAGAATGTGTGCTTTCTTTCATGAGATATGATGCTGAGTTCCTAAGGGATGGTGAAATATAGTTGAGTGGGTTAGTATAATTATAGAGAAGTGGGAAAACAATATGGGTTAGAGTGGTGAAAGATCTTGGTTTCAGCACTCTTCTGAGCAGGAGCTGATTGGTGTGGCAGTGGGAATGGAGAAGAGTTGTATGAGTGGAAATATTTTGATTCTAGAAGTGACAGTGGTTGATAATTGACTATAACTCAATTGGGTTCTAATCTACCAGCTACCTACAAAACCTCTCTCATAAATGTCCGACTGCTACTTAAAATTTAACTGCATATAAACTGAACTCATGCCTTTTTTTATAACCAGCAACGCCTCCCCCCATTTTCCATTTTCTTACTCCTATTGTTATGGGAGAAATATCTGTTTTCTGAGTTCATGTGGTAGGTAACTGCTGCCAAATTACATTTACCACAATGCAGAAACTATAGAGGTAAAAACCTAGGTTTTATTATTGTGCTCAAGCACAGGTTTGGGCCTCGGAGAAAACCCAAACAATCATTAGGATTCTCACAAGCCCTCTTATAGGCAAAATTACATCCATGACAGAGAAACAATTCTTTTACATATTGCAATCTTGTATATTCCTCTTAGGCTATGGAAGTTAAAGAGAAGATAGATCCATAATCCCACCCTTCCTTTAGTATCATAAAAGTTGAACAAACTTCAACAGCAAGCAAAATCTATAGGTAAACTAAGTCAGGTTACATATTAAACTACATTTAGAGGTTTCACAAATATTCTTATCGAGAGGGAAGATTTACATGTCACCAAGATAACCAAGAGAGTTCGTCATCAGGAAGGAAATCTTTCCTTCAATAAATAATTAGCTAGGGGCAGTAACACATAAGTGAATCATTTTGACTTCTCTGTCTTCTATCCGAGGATTGTCAAACAGTCATCCCTTATTTCGTGAGTCAGATTTTGGTTAGGGTAAGATTAATATTAACAGGAGACAGACTTTTAGTTAATCAAAATCTGTAGGAGAAATAGCCCTAAGTGCCAAATGACAAAAAATTCATAAAAGGAAATAAAATATTCCTATAGCAGGATCAGTGGCACCACCATTTTTATGCTGAGACTTAAAACTTGGTGTCAGTTTTGGTATAGTAGTGAAATTTTCTTGTTGGAGATTTTAAATGTGTTTATTTGAAACTCTTGCCTATTACTTATGCTGTGGATACATAATCTTTGCCGGTTATTGATCCCTACTGGTCTTATGAAACTGCTGTTCAGTGTTGTGGTATTGGTGTCATGGTCACTGCTGATCCTTGCTGATTATTATTGCCAACATGGCACAGTGACCTCTTATTTGGGGGGTTACTTCTTTCTCCTAGGAGAATTAATGGGATCTTCTGTGGGTCTTGTAATTTAAAACCAATAGATTTTCCTTTGCTATAAAATTTTTTTTGAGGGGGTGGGTGAGAAATACAGAATCCTAGACATACCTCATCAATGGATTAGGGAAAACAAAAAAACCACAACTATTCTCAGGTTTTCTTTTTTTTCTGTAGGAGTGGTTTAAAGGCTTATATACTTCTTTCAGAGTCTTGGTTAGATGGGACTTTATTATCTGGGAAGACGTTGCCTCAGGCACTAAGTTCTTTGGTACACAGAGGAGAAGAACTTCCTCCAGATAACTACTACCCTCACTTTTATATATTTTTAAACTAATTGTAACTTCTCTCCTCCTCCCTGTACATTTGCATGAAATTCTCCACATTGGTATGAAGAAGGATTATTGCTTGACAGAATTCCATGTAAATTCGTTTAGAGCCTAGGATCATAAGAGGCAGCTAGATGATTCAGTGGATAGAGCATGGGCCTGTAGTCTGAAAGATCTGAGTTCAAATTCGGCCTCACACATTTACTGTGTGACCCTGAACAAGTCACTTAACGATTATTTGCCTTAACCCACTCGAGAAGGAAATGCTTATCTTTTTTTGGGGGGGGAGGGGCAAAGGGTTACGTAACTTGCCCAGGGTCACACAGTTAGTAAGTGTTATGTTTCTGAGGCTGATTTGAACTCAGGTCCTCCTGAATCCAGGGCCAGTGCTCTAACCACTGTGCCACATAGCAGCCCCTTGAGAGGGAAATGACAAACCACTCCAGTGTTTTTGCAAGGAAAGCCCTATGTAGTATGTTCCATGGGATCACAAAGAGTCAGACAAGACTGAACAACAACTAGGGTTCCATATAGTTCCTGATCACAGAGGCCCAACTCCCAACTCTCTCTCTCTCTCTCTCTCTCTCTCTCTCTCTCTCTCTCTCTCTCTCTCTCTAGCTTAGGGTTAGAAAGACTTTGTGTCTTCTTGTTCAATTCCAAGTTGAGGGTCCTATGCCCTAAAACTCATTTCAGGGGATTTCTGATACAGAAATTCCAAGGAACAGTGAAGGTCCGATATCTTTGTAGTGTTTTAGGGGACTGAATGTGGTTCACCATCAACTGTACAAATGAATTTAAGCCATCACAAAAGCTAAAACCTGGTCCAGGGTCATTGTCTATTTCTGGCTTAACGGCTTTCCTGGCCTTTTACACGTATATACAACCAGCCAATCTTCTTAAGGCTTTGAGCTATTCTGACGTATGTAATAGATATTGGTGGTTCTTGTTTGCTTGTTTGTTTATTTTTGGTTCTGCTTACTTGGCATTAATTCTTCCTATTATTCTCTGAATACTTCAGATACTGAGATAATTTTAACGCGCAGTGCTTAGCACAGTGCCAGGTTGTAAGTGCTATAAAAATATTATTATTATTATTATTGTCTTTTCCAATTTGATTGTATTTGTCACGTTATTAGTGATTTAGAGCAATGTTTCATATGGCTGTTGAAAGTTTATGATTCTTCTTGTTAACACCATTCTATCCATTGACCTCTAATTTCTTAGGAAATTACTCTTGTTCTTAAATCATTTGATATATTTTGAAGACTTGAAAAAAGTTTCAAAACAATGTATATAGTTTTTTGGTGCTTTAAATCATAAATATAAGTCTTTAATTTCCAAAAGAAAATAGACAATAATTTGAACTACTGTAGTCTAGCTACAGAATTTTCTGCAGCAGACAGTACGTTTGCACTATTTTGAATGAATTAACTAGTTGAGGAAACCAATTTATTTGACAGATTTTTCTCAATTTACTAGTGGTTTGAATAAGAAGATACCCAGTGTACTAGCTATTTTAGCAGGCACAGCCTTCTTTGTAGAGAAGTAGGATGCTGAATTCTGCCTGAGGGTATCAATCAAAGATAGAGAAATAGGTCATCTTGAAATTACAATTTGACAAATAACTAAGGGAAATAATTTTGATAGTTGTAGAACACAAAACTTATTTTGCTGCATTCTACTCAGTTTAATTTCACGTAGTAAATGTTTAATAAATGCTTGTTAATTGGTTGATTTGAGAAAGAGTTAGCTCATATTACAGAAATGTTACTATGTGCAGATTAATGTCATTGAAAAAATTCCTGACCTGTGATCATTGTGTGGAACTCCCATTGAGCAAACTCTCTTTAGCAATTCCAGATCAGCAACTGCCTTTCAATTTATAGTTTTACAGAGTTGTCTGGAGGCACCCAGAAATTCAAAGATTTGCCCATGGTCACACTGCCAGTATGCATAAGAAGAGGGATTTGATCACAGGTCTTTTGGAATCTCAGGCCGGCTCTCTGTCTACTACACCAAGCTATCTCTCAGCCTCTCATGTTGCCTTATGTCAATTACAGTGAGTTAAACAATTCAATGCATAGAGTTTTAGAACTGGAAGAGCCTTAGACAGCATCTGGTCTAACTTCCTTATTTTTCAGATGAGGAAACTGAGGTTAAGAGGCTGACCCAAGTTAGTGGAAAATTAGCAGAATAATCAGAACTAAAATCCTGGTCTCCTAAGTTTAGTAGCCATAACTTGCTTTCGGAAAAGTTAAAAGTTATGTATTGAGGTAGCCTTCAGTGCATTAGATTATTTCCATGTGCATTTATTCTGAAAAAGTATGTGATTTGCAGTGAATCCTTTCGAATATCAATGGATGGAAGATTACTACACTGACTTAAGATTAGTTTGCTACAGTGCTTACTTACTATAAGTTGTAGCTTTACTCAAAACTTAGACATCCTCAAGAAATCTCATTAATGCCTCTTTATCCATTTACAGCTGTTTGTTATGTAGCCCTAGTTTACTTTGAGATCATTTAAGCAGAACATGGATTTAATTGCTATGTATGTCATTTCTTCTTGTTATAGGTAATGGGCCTCACCATGACCGCTGCAGTACTTATAATGAAAACAACTTGGTAGATGGTGTGTACTGTCTTCCCATTGGACACTGGATTGAAGCCACGGGGCACACTAACGAGATGAAGCATACAACTGATTTCTATTTTAACATTGCAGGTCACCAAGCTATGCATTATTCAAGGTAAGAGCAGCCGTGTGTTGAAACAGGCAGCTGTTATTCAGGTTTGACCAGACAGAAAAATACCTGAATCCATTCAGCCAAATTGGGTGATAGTAGATTGCTTTTTAAAGAAATAAACAGTTTCCCTCCATTTTTTTACCTCTAAAAACCATGGTCACTTAGGCACCTGTTAACTCAAATGTTCAAAGCTCTAATATTTTGAAATCTTGCCAGTGAGGGATCTACATAGGGACTTCAATTCATAGAATCAGTAAATGTTAGAGGTTGAAGGGGTCTCTGGCATCATTTACTCCTACTTTCTTTTTTTCTTTTTTTTTCAAACAAATAAAGGTAATGAGGCTTGGAAATGTGAATTGACTTAAGGTCACAAAATTGGGGACAGAGTTGGGACTAGAATTCAGGTCTTCTAGGCCAGTGCTCTTTGCATAGCTACTTTGAAGATGAATTTTTTGGGGGATATTTAAGGCTATTTCTTTAGTGGTTGAAAAGAGAAGAAATGATGGCATTAAAAATTAAAAAAAATTTTTATTTAAAGTTTTGAGTTCCAAATTATGTCCCTCCCTTTCTCTCTCCCCTCCCCTCTCCCTGAGAAGGTAAGCAATCAGATGTAGGTTATACATGTGCAATTACGTAAAACATTTCCACATTAGTCATTTTGACTCGAATAAAAGAAAAAAACGAAAAGAAAGTGAAAAATAGCATGCTTCAGTTTGTATTCAGTCAATATCAGTTCTTTCTCTGGAGGTGGATAGTATGCTTCATCATTAGTCTTTTGGGATTGTCTTGGATCGTATTGCCGAGAATAGCTAAGTCATTTACAATTCTTCATTGAACAATATTGCTGTTTCTGTGTACTGCATTCTCCTGGTTCTGTTCATTTCACTGTGTATCAGTTCATGCAAGTCTTTCCAGATTTTTTTAAATCATCCTGCTTGTCATTTCTTATACCACAATAACATTCCGTTACAATCATATACCACAGTTTGTTTGGCCATTTCCCAATTGATGGGAGACCCTTAGATATCCAATTCTCAGCCACCAGAAAAGAAGCTGCTATGAATATTTTTGTACAAATGGGTCCTTTTCACTTTTTCAGATGTCTTTGGGATATAGACCTAGCTGGATCAAAGAGTTTGCACAGTTTTATTACCTTTTGGGCATAGTTCCAAATTGTTCTCCAGAATGGTTGGATCAGTTCACAACTCCACTAACAGTACATTAGTGTCCCAGTCTTCCCACATCCCCTCCAACATCCAGCATTTTCCTTTTTTGTCATATTAGTCACTCTGACAGGTGTGAGATGGTACCTTAGAGCTGTTTTAATTTGCAGTTATTTAGAGCATTTTCCATATGACTATAGATAGCTTTGATTTCTTTGTCTGAAAACTGACTATTCATGTCCTTTGACCATTTATCAATTGGGGAATGATTTGTATTTTTATAATTTGACTCAGTTCTCTATATATTTGAGAAATGAAGACATTATTAGAGATACTTGTTGCAAAATTTTCCCCCCAGTTGTCTGCTTTCCTTCTAATTTTGGTTGCACTGGTTTTGTTTGTGCAAAAACTTTTTAATTTTGTGTATCAAAATTATCTATTTTACATTTTTAATACTCTATCTTCTTTGGTCCCAAATTCATCCCTTATCTGACAGATAAACTATTCCATGCTCTCTTAATTTGCTTATGATATCACCCTTTATGTGTAAAATGTACCCATTTTGACCTTATCTTGGTATAAGTATTAGATGTTGGCCTATACCTAATTTCTGCCATGTTTTCCAGTTTTCCCAGTAGTTTTTGTCAAATGATGAGTTTTTGTTCCGAAAGCTTGGATTTTGGGGTTTATCATACACTAGATTACTATGGTCATTTACTATAATGTTATTTGTATCTAATCTATTCCACTTATCCACCCTCTGTTTCTTAGCCAGTACCAGATTATTTTGATAATTACTGCCTTGTAATATAGTTTGAGATTTGGTACAACTAAATCACCTTCTTTCACATTTTTTTTTCCATTGATTCCCTTGATATCCTTGAGGTTTTGTTCTTCCAGATGAATTTTGTTGCGGTTTTTTCTAGCTCTATAAAATAATTTTTTGATCATTTGATTGGTGTGGCGCTGAATAAATAGGTTAATTTAGGTAGAATTGTCATTGTTATTATATTGTCTCGGCCTGCCTATGAGCAATTAATATTTTTCCAATTGTTTAGGTTTGACTTTATTTGTGTGAAAAGTGTTCCAGGACTTGTCTTGGCAGGTAGACTTCCAAGTATTTTATATTATTTACAGTTTTTTTAAATGGAATTTCTCTTTCTGTCTCTTGCTACTAGACTTTGCTGGTAATATATAGAAATGCTGATGATTTATGTGGGTTTATTTGTATCCTGCAACTTTGCTAAAGTTGTTAACAATTTCAAGTAGTTTTTTAGTTGATCCTCTAGGATTTTCTAAGTATAACATCATATTATCTGGAAAGAGTGACAGTTTTGTTTCCTCATTGGCTATTCTAATTCCTTTAATTTCTTTTTCTTCTCTTATTGCTATAGCTAACATTTTTATTACAGTGTTAAATAATAGAAGTGAAAATGGGCATCCTTGTTTCACACCTGATTGTATTGGGAAGGCTTCTAGTTTATCCCCATTACAGATAATGCTTGCTGATGGTTTTAGATAAATATTACTTATCATTTTAAGGTAAGCTTCATTTATTCCTATGTTCTCTACTGTTTTTAATAGAAATGCATGCTGTATTTTGTTCCTGTGTCTATTGAGATAATCATATGATTTCTGTTGGTTTTGTTATTGATATGCCAATTATGCTGATAGTTTTCCTAATATTGAACAAGCTCTAATTTCCTGGTATAAATCCCACTTGAGCATAGTGTATGACCCTTGTGATATGTTGATTATAATCTCTGCTAGTATTTTATTAAAATTTTTTTCCATCAATATTCATTAGGGAAATTGGTCTATAATTTTCTTTCTCTGTTTTGGCTCTTCCAGGTTTGAGTATGAGCACCATATTTGTGTTGTAAAAGGAATTTGATAGGACTCTGCCTATTTTTCCAAATATTTTTTGTACTATTGGGCTTAACTGTTCTTAAAAGGTTTGATAAAATTCATTTGTGAATCCATCTGGTCCTAGGGATTTTTTCTTGGGAAGTTTATTGATGGCTTGTTCAATTTCTTTTTCTAAGATTGGGTTATTTAAGTACTTTATTTCTTCTTCTGTTAATCTGGGAAATTTATATTTTGTAGATATTCGTCCAGTTCATTTAGATTGTCACATTTATTGGCATATAGTTGGGCAAAATAGCTCCTAACAATTGTCTTAATTTCCTCTTAATTGGTGGTGAATTCACCCCTTTCTTTTTTGATATTAGTAATTTGGTTTTCTTCTTTCCTTTTTAAAATCAAATTAACCAATTGTTTATCTATTTTATTTTTTTTAAATAAAAAGAGCCTCTAGTTTTATTTATTAGTTCAAAGGCTTTCTTACTTTCAATTTTATTAATCTTTTTTGATTTGCAGGATTTCCAATTTGGTGTTTAATTGGAGATTTTTAATTTGTTCTTTTTGTAGTTTTTTTAGTTGCATGCCCAATTCATTGATCTGATTTAAGCAATTAGAGATAGGAATTTTCCCCTAAGTACTGCTTTGGCTGCATCCCATAAATTTTTGTATGTAGTCTCATTGTTGTCATTTTCGCTAATGAAATTATTGATTATTTCTATGATTTGTTCTTTGACCCACTTGTTTTTTAGGATTAGATTATTTAATTTTCAATTGATTTTAATATCTCCTTTCATTGTCCATTTTTGAATGTAATTTTTATCGCATTATGATCTGCCTTTCTGTATTTTCTGTATTTGGTTGTGAGGTTTTTATATCCTAATACATAGTTAGTTTTTATGTAGGTACCATGTACTGCTGAGAAAAAGGTATATTCCTTTCTATTCCCATTTGGTTTTCTCCAGAGGTCTATTATATCTACACTTTTCAGAATTTTATTCACCTGCTTAACTTCTTTCTGGTTTAGTTTTTGGTTAGATTTATCTGGTTGTGAGGGGGGAAAGTTGAGGTCCCGCACTAGTATAGTCTTATTATCTATTTTCTCCTGTAACTCATTCAACCTCTTAAAAGATTTAGATGCTATACCATTTGGTGCATATATGTTTAGTATTGATATAACTTCATTGTCTATGGTACCTTTCGGCAACATATAGTTTCTTTACCTCTTTTAATTGGATCTATTTTTGCTTTTGCTTTGTCTGAGATTATGATTGCTACCCCTGCTTTCATTGTTTCACCTGAAGCATAGTAGATTCTGCTCCAGCCCCTTATCTTTACCTTGTGTGTATCTCTGCTTCAAATATGTTTCTGGCAAACAACATATTGTAGGATTTTAATTTTTAATCTGTTCTGTTATCAGCTTCCGTTTTATGGGTGAGTTCATCCCATTCACATTTATTGTTATGATAACTAACTGTATATGCTTGTGTATGTGTGTGCTGCATGCTATTTTCACTTGTTTATCCCCCGTTCTTTTTTACCCCCCACCTTTTCCCTCCTCACAAGTGTTTTACTTATGATCACGGCCTTCCCCAATATACCATCCCTTTTATCAGTCTCTCCTCCCTCTTCTGTTATCTCCATTCCTTTTTACTTCCTTATAGGGTAAGATAGATTTCTATACCCAACTGAGTATGTTATTCCCTTTTTCAGCCAATTTGATAAGAGTAAAGTTTAAGCTTTGCCTGCCATTTCCCCATCTTCTTCTCCATTATAAGAGCTCTTTCATGCCTCTTTTATATGGGATAATTTACTTCCATTCAGTCTCCCCCCTTCTTCTTCTTCCAGTACAGTTTTCTTTCTCATCCCTTTATTTATTTATTTATTTTTGGGTATCATCTCAGCAAAGTTACTTTATATCCATGCCCTCTGTCTACATATACTCTTTCTAATTGCTCTTATAATAATAGAGTTGTTAAA